ATGGGTATTAAAGAGGGCACATTCTGCATGGAGCACTGGGTGTTATATGTAAACAATGAATCATGGAACACTACATCAAAAACTAATGATGTAATGTATGGTGATTAACATAACATAATAAAGTAAAAAATTAAAAAAAAAAAAAGAGAGAGACTCCAGAGAGCTCCCTCACTCCTTCTATCATGTAAGAACACAGCACAAACATAGAAAACCGACCTTCCTCAGACACCAAATCTGCCAGAGCCTTAATCCTGGACTTGCTAGGCTCCAAAACTATGAGAAATAAATTCCTGTTGTTGATTAGCCACCCAGTCTATGGTATTCCATTACAGCAGCCCAAACAGGGCAAACGTGGTATTAATATTGCAAAATCTGTCTTGTTGACCACTGATCATCTGGCAGGACTGAATGCCTTGAGTACCAAAGGATCCATGTATGCTCCCCAGAAGCAAAGGGAGATTTGGTCCATAAAATGGCTCCAATCAGGAAGATCTAAAAAAGATAGCTTCCTGAAATATTCTCTGGTCACCTAAGCTTTATAGATATTACCACTGCATGGGAAGGGTTTAGATGTTTCCTGTCTTCCTTTAGGTGCATACGGCTCATGTACATCCTAGAGTGAGGCATGAGGTCTACCTTCATTTGCTGTTATTTATCATTTCCACCAAAGTGAGCTATGCATTTCCCTCCATTTGTACACAGAATTCACTGGCTATCATTTCATCTCTTTTAATACCTTACAGTGATCCTTGTGATGTACAAGCTGTACAGTCGTGGAGAAATGTCTGCAAGGGTTCTTCAGTGTGTGCAGTTGCCCACCCTGCCATATAATGGCTCCAGGCTGCTATGCTTTTTCACTTCTCATATATTTTTTTTAAATAGTTTCTCTCTCTCCTCCCTTGTTGTCAAGCTGTCAGTCAGCTGTCACTTTTTACTGCTGTCAGTGAGCCTGCCTTTATCACACCCCCAATGTGATGCTGCTAATCTGCTGTCAGCTGAGAAATCAGATAATCGAGACCTCTGAAATTGCATTCACAGTAAGTGGTGGGCAGAGCACAGGATGGAGATTTTGAGATATTAGTTCCAGTTCTTGCTCTGTCTATATCTAGCTGTGTGGTTACCAGGAGACACTTAACTTCTCTGAACCTTGGTGCTTTCATCCACAAAATGAGAAGCAGAATCTGTGTGTGTGTGTGTGTGTGTGTGTGTGTGTGTGTGTGTGTGTGTGTGTGTGTGTGAGAGAGAGAGACAGAGACAGAGACAGAGACAGAGAGAGACAAAGAGACAGGAAAGGAAAGAGATCTCACCCAGACTTGGATCCTAGCTTTCTCTGGCTACCAGAAGGAACACATGAAACTTTTCTGTGAGTTTACAGAATGCAGAATGGGGTACCACTGACCCTTTAATTGTCAAATTCAAGGATATTATTTAACCTTACTTCTCTGAATTCACTACTGACCATCTTCTTAAAACACCCTTCCCTTTGCTCCAGAGGATAATTCTCTCAGTGTTGACTTCCTGACTCTTTTTTCTTCTCCTTTCAATCCTGGGCTCTTCCTCCATCAATCCCTTAAGTGTTAAGAGTGCTAAAGGTCAGTCTGAAGTTCAAAGCCAGGCGAATGATGAGAAACCAGCAACAGGCCTGAGAAGTAGCAACCTGTGTGTTGCTAGAAACCAACTGAAGAATGTGTCATAGTGTGTCAAATGCTGCTGATATGTTAAGTAAGATGAGCACTGAGAATTGACCGCAGGATTTAGGGAGGCATGGAAGTCATCAGTAACCTTGACAAAAACAGTTTCAGTGGAGTAGCTATAAGAGAGAACAGTAGGAACAAAGTGGAAGCAAGTATAAACAACTCTTTGAGGAGGTTTTGCTACTAACAGAGAGAAAGAAAATAGGCAGTAACAGAAGGGAGAAGTGGAGTCAAGAAATAACTATTTTAAAGATGTAAAACCAATGGCATTTTTCTTATGCTAATAGTAATGACCCAGAAGCCAGGAAAACTGATGATGCAGAACAGAGATGGACAAATTGCTAGGACAGTAGTCCTTAGGTATGCAAGGAGGATGGACTCTTGTGGAGGCAAAGACCTCACACGGAAGCAAAGTCAGTTCATCCATATTAATAGGTATGAAGAAAAAGAATATGCACCCAGAAGCACGTGGATGGGTAATATAACAATGGGAGTGGGAAAATTAATAAGATGAAGTAGTCTTTATTGGGGAGGCTACTACATACCAGGCACTATGCTAGGCATTTCACAGGAGCATTATTTCCTTTAGTCACTACAATGCCTATGAGATGATAAAGTATATATAATCATAATATTAAAGAACCTAAGTTCAGGGTCATTACACTTACATAGGTCACAGAGCTAGTAAGTGGTAGTCAAGACTCAAATACATGTATGTATGCTTCCAGTGTTTAAGAGCTTTCACATCCCCAAATGTTTAATACATATAATGATAGTTTCTTTTTTTAAAAGATATTTATTTATTTATTTATTTATTTATTTATTTAGAGTGTGAGCAGGGGAAGGGCGGGGGAGGGGGAGACTCTCAAGCAGACTCCCTGCTGAGCATGGAGCCCAACGCAGGGCTTCATCTCACGACCCTGAAATCATGACCTGAGCCGAAACCAAGAGCCGGACCCTTAATTGACTGAGCCACCCTGGTGCCCCAAATACATATAATGATAGTTTCAAGTGATATTCTTTCTTGCAACTATTTTTCTGGTCTTTGAGAAAGGCAAGGCAGTAAGGAGTGAGGAGGACAATAGGTAACAGCAGTTGCCACAAAGCCCAATATTACTGAAGTCCTATGTAGACCGACATGCTCTGAATTTTAACTGTTAACAACTTTAGAAATCCTCATATTTTTTGCTGAAATACAGCTTTTCCCCTTCTCTGACTAATATCCATTATAGTATACACTATTATAGCACATTATAGTAATAATTTAATTATATCTTCTAGTTTGTTTTTACTTAAATTTATTTTTGCCATGATCAAACAATATTTATATAGGGAGAAAGGTAGAAGCATTCAAAAGTTTTTTTTTTAATCATCTTGGTTATGTTGCCTTTGGAATTATTAAATATTTTTCAACATCTCAACAAAATAATACTCTTTTAAGACTGCAGGCATTAGAATGATTGTCATTCATGCAAATAATCACTTACTTACACTATATGAGTTTGGGTTGGATAAAGCAAATTACCATTTGAAAATAATTCAAATAACACTCTGGGCTAAGACCTTGCTTATGAATGTTATCTTGGCCACAATATTTCTTAACCTTTTTCCATTTAGCTAGATTTATTTATGGTAATATAGTCCAAATTAATAAACTATTCAATTGCCACAGGTGTATTAAACATGTGATGTTGTAGAAATATATCAGATGCAAATGAATTCTAAAACGTATTATTTATTTGGAATTCTATAGTGGTAATAATTAAGATGTAGTATAATCACCTACTAAATTAAAGATGTACATTTTGAGTGTACGTTATATGAAAACCTTAAAAACATGTCAAAAAATAAAGTTCATATTTTAAAAATATGGCCTAAAATATAAACTGTGTTTTAACTAATCACAGATCTAAAATGTAACAATTATATTTTCCAGAAGTTGAAATTCTCTCATCCCACATATTATATATATATATATATATATAAAAATTCACATTATATATGCATATATAACTGAAAATCAATTTTGATCTTAGTTTCACTTAGCCTGACAGTTGTCAAAACTGCAAATAAATGATTCAATGTTTTTCACAAATGACCTATAGTGATAAGAAGCTTGAACAGTAAACAGAAAATTGAATTAAAAAATCATAGGGTCTAAACTTTAATCCAATCTGTGACAATAATCAGCAGTATGAGTACAAGCCAGTCTCTGCTTCTCTGAGCCTCTGCTTTCTGAACTCCATAAAGTAAGAATTGGGCAAGGTTGTCTAACTTAAATTTTATGACTCACTAACTTGATTTGGTATGAGGCAGATTTTTCTTCAATGAAATATTAACTAGTAAAACACTCAAATAAATCAGCATTAAGAGCACTGATGAGCACTACTGATCCCACAGCAAAATCTGGGTGCACTCAGGAAATCGAGAACACAGAGGGTAATGCTGACCTCCTGCATAACATGCATAGACATTAAATTGTTTCCTGCCTTCCTTTCAGGGACAGGGAAGAAACAGCTGTCCCTGAACTCTTTTTAAGGACATCGTCAGTTACAAACAGCAGCATCCCCAGCTAGTTTGAGTCCCATCGAAGTAAACTTTCTGTTCACAAGGGAGAAATATTCCTACTGGCAAGAAAAACCATTTTGCTAGGTTTAATCAGAAGTGAAAAGGAATTTGAGAATGTTCCCTTTGAGCCACATCATTCACTGCTAACTCAGGGTGGGCCCAGCAACAAGGGTAATAAAAAATGGCCTTAGTAACAGAGAAAGAGAAATGGCAATTAAGTGCATTTGTAACCTAATACAGAAGATCTCTTTATTAAGATAATATAAATAATAAAAAATGGAAGAAGGAAAAAAATAGAAGAAAATAGCATGGGAAACGAAAGTAACCCAAGCGGTGAATTTAACAGACTTACTTAGAACAGTTGCTATATACATACAAACCCAGGGGCATAAGCTGAATGCAAAGGTTGAGAAATATGCTTGACAATGACTTCTGTAACAAAACAACAAATAAAGAAACAAAACAGTAAGTGTCAAAAAAGCCAAAGCAGCTTGCTTGAGGAAACCAATAAATAACACTAAAGAAAGGATGAACTCAATATCAGAACTAACCATTCAGGGATCGGCTGGACACATGATTATTTAAAATGTCTGTAAATCACAGCATGGTGAAATAGAACTTGATTCTTTAATTACATGCTTACACTGAAAAGTTAAAATTGGAAGGACACCACCAATTTCTATACATTTGGGTAATAATTTATGACACAATATTAAAAATGGAGTCAAACATACTGACCTGCTCACATCAGGAAACCTGATGGGAAAGTAAATAACTTGGCACTTGGGTCTGATGATGCTTTCCAGATCCCTGGGTCTGTGATCAGGAATCAGCTTCATAAATTTTCCAATAGAGGTAAGAAATGACTCCATATTAAAAACCGAGTTGAACACCACCACATCAGCCACCAGGCTGGAAAGGGAAGGGATAAATGCAAAGGATGAACCCACACTCATTCACAGTTAGTTTTTATAAGAACAAGACTTCTGTGTTACACTGTACAGAGTTTACACTGTACTTGGGTTTGCAAAGAACTCTGCATTTCCCATCGGTATTTATTAAATTGCCTCTAATAGATAAGTTAGTTTCATTCCCATTGTATCATGGTAAGTTAGATTGCTGGCATCAGGGAGGAAAGGCAAGGGAGGAGTTAAATGATGTATTGGGATCTTATGAAGCTTCAAACAAAGTTTGTTTTTCTGCAGTGTCAGGACTTTCTGTATTATGAACAGCACTAAGTACAGCAGGACCTTTTTCTTTGTGGCCCACATACCCATGCTGGATTTCTATGTCAGCGATATACACCATTTTATACCATACTACTGAGAAGAGAACATCTGACATACTTTTCAGTACCTGCAAGGAGGCTAGTTCAGATAAAGCTATTACACACAAAAGCACACCTTTAAACATGTGGTTAAAGTCTATTTCTTGTTTAATCCTTGCTTCAAGAAACCATTAGATTTTTTAAAGTTCTGGAACTCTACAGGAAGGATTATATGGGACCTCTACAAGTAACTTATTTTACTATTATATTATATTTGGGGTAGTCAAAGAAGAAGGACCACAACACCACGGACCTTCAGAATTAAACAAAATAAATATAGTACTATCTATTACTTTTGATGGAAAGATTGTGTTCCCCACTTTAATATTTTTTAAATACAAAAAATCTAAAATACATTGTTATAAGGAAATGTGATAACAAATTTAGATGTCATAAGTATGTCAACAGTGTTCAGAATTGCCTAAAACATTTTCTTGAAGACCAATGAACACAAATGATAACTAGGAGTAAGCCCAGATAAAACCTGAATATGTAGTATATCCCCTTTATGGGTCAAAAAACTGATTTAATAAATTATTGGTTTGATTTTTTTAAATGGTCCTCTTCGCTTTAAGCAATGATTCAGTGTCTCAGTGTCTCTGGATCTCAGTAAAATGCACACAAATGTTTTAGTGAGGAGGTATATAAACTCAAATAGTAGTTAGTTTTATTTCACCTTAAAAGTGATAAATCAAAAAATGGAAAAGACACATAAGTCTGTAAGACTGCAAAACACAAATGAAGAGGCAGAGCTTACAGAATAGGAATACCATAGCAAATCCCCCGTTTACTGAGGACAGCCAAAGTTTCTATCATTAATACACAGCAGAAGGAAAAGCCTACAAAAGGAACTTTGAACTGCCACCTTTATGCCTCCCCTGCAAAATTGCTTTTCCCTACAAGTATTTTTTTTTTTTTTGGGTGCAACTTAGGGGAAATTTGGGGGTAGGGGTGATAACAGCACGGATAATACAAAAGAATGTCACAGAAGTGCTGACACAACAGCAAGCAATAAAGAAGCCAATATAATAATAGACCAAAAGTTGAAGGATGTTTTACAGCTAGTCTGTTTTCACCATATGTCACATATTGTAATAGCGACCCACAGGTCATAATATACAGTTACGACATTTGTTCATAAGTCAGAGGGTTAGTGAAACCTCTATTTAAGGTGAGTGTTTATGTCAGTCACCTCTAAAGTCCTTAACTGCCACTTGGTCAAGAAAGAAATCCGACAATGCCAACAAAAGCAGAAGTCAGCAAGAAAACTAAAGAAACATTTGAGGAAGCAAGACTCATACTTTTCGAAGAGAATCTGAAACAGAACTGCTTTCTGACACTCTTATTTTTCCTCTGGACAACGGCAAATCATTTTTTTCTCATTACCAGTCCAACCAATGATCGAGTCTACTTCTTTCTCTCCGAGCTTGTCTATCAGTTTACCCTCCTGAGAAGAGCAATGCTGGAAAACCATGTACGGGCTTTTATAGTCTCATTCCTTTTGACCAAAAACAATCTTTTATAAAATAGAGAGATGAGGGGCAGTGAGCTAAAATTTTTTTATAGGCATCTGCCCTCATCGGGCAGGCAACCCAACTACTTACGCTCTTAAAAACCCAGTCTATGCTAAATTAAAGATCCAAGACAGTCTCCAGAAATATTCTTCTCATGTATTTCTGCTCCGATATGAGTGGGTGTAACTTCCATTAACTTTAAAGCCACCCATAAAGGGAAAAATAGACTTAATTTTTTCCCCCAGTTATTTCTCAGGGGTAATAAACACACACTATCAGAGGAAAAGAATGATGCTAATTCAAGAAATCGAGAGAATATTACAAATGTTTTCCATATTGATAAAGCACAAAATGATTTTATTTTTGTTTTTAAAACATATTTCCCTTCTCTGTTTCAATATAAAATAAAGTATTTTAATTTTATTATGAAATTTTAAAACGGTTGCATTTTTATGAGACATTTGCCGTGAAGCAGTTCCACTCTATGACAGTGCTGCTACTTCACAATTGAAGCAGCTTGTAAAAATGATTGCAGGAAAATATTTACAAAATGCTCAAAACACAGAAATATTACCATATAGCTGTTTTTCTATGTCAACTAAACTATGGAATATGCTTGTAAGAGTTGGGAGTCTGTTAAAACATGCCATCAATCCCAACTGCTAATAACTATTTAAAAAGGTGAGTAAGATGTACCCAATCATGGCCAACCTGATTCTATTTGATTGCTACAGTTATGTGAGTAGGAGCCAATCACAAAGCCGTTTCAGAGTTGTTATTAACTTCTTTCATTAACTAAGCTTCAAGAGATACATTTTGTTGAAGTAACAACAGAGAAGGACCATCACCTTTGAAATGTCATAGTATTTTAAGGCTATGCAATTTCAGAAGACTCAATGAGGGGGGGAAAAAAAAAACCCAACCACCTAAAGATTCATTTTCCATAGTTTTCTCTTAGAGACAGTAAGAAAAAAAAAAGGACAAAACCCCCTTGTTCTACTATACTCTAATTTCTATTTCTTCCTCTATAAATTTCTACATATATTGAAAGTGGTTGGTAAATGAGACCTGACTAACCGCTCTTTTCTAAAAGTACTCCTTAAACAATACATGATGGAATCAAGGGGGGAAGAAAGTCCCGTGTAAACACTGTGATTCTATTTTAAATGTTGTAGAAAATAGTCAGATAACTAGTTCAAAATATAATTAGATTGTTACATGTATTTTATAAAAGGATTGGCTGTTCTCCTCTATATACATATACTGCAAAGGCACAAGCAGTTACTACCGTGGAAGGTATGTTTACACATACGCACCCACGTTAAGGTGTTTTTAAAATAAGTGTACAGTAGGTCTCCAGATTTAAAAGCTAACTATCTATAAAGAAAATTGTGGTAAAGGACTAAATATAATGATACATTCTATACCTACCATGAGAGAATTTGGTTGTATCCATATTGGAAATCCCTCTCCTGACATTTCTTGACAGGATATACCAATTGGTTCTCATGGAAGTACAGAATCTTTTTCAATTTCCCAAGGTCAGGTCGAAGGGCAGCCAGTTCGGTCAGGTTCAGCACTGAGCTTGCAAAGAGGATCCTAGGAAACAAGGACATTAAAGTTTATTGTCCCAAGCATGCCTGAAGTAGTCATCCTTCACCCTTCTCCCCTTTTCCCTCTTCCTACCCCAAGAAAAACATATCCCCTATAGGGACACATCAATACTTAAGTCTTAATACCATGTAGCAGCATTCTAAGTTTTGATCTCTTAAAAAGCAGCCGCTAAGAACTATAAAAGCCCCGAATCTTATTGGTCTTCTCAGCTCAGTTACTGAGAGATGCAAAAAAATAAAAAAAATAAAAAAAGAAAGAAAGAAAAGAAAAAAGAAAAAAAAAAAAAGCCGGATGGATTTTATTGAAAAAGGCAAGAAAAGCTCTATCTGAAGGACAAATGGAACAAAGATAAGGCTGACTGGGGAATACTTTGCTTGCCAGTTTCATTACACTTCACTTCTTTATGCAACAAACTACTGAAATTCAATATACGAGCAGGAATGGCACATGTTCATGTTATGACATAAACCCTTTTGATTTATGCAATAGACTTATCGAGTGTGGTCTTTTTCTCTTGGCATGTTTTCTCACTGTCCCTCCTCCCTCCCTTTTTTTTAACTGCTCTGCAATATTTTGTGTTTTTCTTTTTTTAATATTTTATTCTCCATTACTGGACTGCTAATGGCACCGGATGTATAATCTATAAAACCCCTTATATAAAAACATAAATATAAAAAAGAAAGCTGATACCTTATCTTTGTGGAAAAAAGGAAACTGAAAGCTTACCTACCATGTTTATAAATGAAAATGTCTATTTACCCATTCACTCCACAAATATTTACTAAATGCCTACTGTGTGCCAGAGTCTAACCAAGAAGAACAGAAAAGGTGAAACAAGAGAGCCCACCAGGATAAATGCTGCCTGCAACAGTGACATAAACAATTAAGAGAAACAAGAAAGGAGTAATAACTATCTAGGACAACCTGGAAATGTTTCACTAACAAGGTGTACCACATATGGATACAAAAGAGGGACAAATTACATTCCCCTGAACAGCTGAGGACATTTAGATGGCACAATTTTGATGGAATGCCACCTTTATAACATAATGTAGCATCACTTGACCCTTACAACTTTAATTCCCATTCTAAAAAATGAAGTTCAAGAAGGTTAAGAGTTTTTTTTTTCTTCTTTTTTTTTTCTAGAATCACACTGGTATAAAGTGGCAAAGCAGAGACTCCTGGTCTTCCAATCCTGAAGTACTTTTCATTACCCCATGGATATAAATTGGCTGTGTACCACTTACATTACAAATGCTTTTTTCTGTACTTAATAAATACAAAATATCATACTTATTATTACCATGATTACAACTACTATAAATTCTCCCTTGCTGACAAGCCAAATGGCTAACTTCAGGTGTTTATATGATCTGCAGCACTAGCCTTTCACATAAGAAGAATGATTACATGATAAGTGCATATATCATAAATAGGAATTCAAGTGTCTTCTTCATGGACTAAAAAAGGCACATAAGACCAAAAGGCAGTGATCTCTCTTTAAACCCACACTGCTGTATTAATGCCACGGTTTAATGCTTTGAAGTAAAAAATCTTACAAAGGAGATGTATTTATTTTTTTTAATTGTCTGTATTCAACTAAAGCAAGGAGAAAAATTATGATGAAAAAATACTATATTTTGTCCAAAAACATGCCTACCACCAGCACCAAGTATAAGACTTTCTAAAGCTTGGATTGAAAATTCTGAAATATGAAGATATTTGCTTATCTACAAATCTGATCCTTAGTAAAGAGAACAATAAAATATTAATCTCAATCAATATTATTCTTTAAAAGAAAATGGATGATGACTTGTGAGTCTAATTATTGAGAAATATCCCCTCCTCTCCCTCCATACAACACTATTGCAAACAATTACTCATTCTTAATCATGAGACCTGAGCAAGCTCAATGTTTTTCACACACAAGGCTGAAAAATTCATTAAATGCAGCCCCCATATTACTTATTAACTACAAAGAAAAAATGGTACCTTAATGGACAAATTTAGTAGTCATCAATTTACCCAAGTCATCAAACTTAATATGAACAATAATAGGACAAGTGATATGTATTTCCCAAAGTGGTACACTGACAAAGATACAAATCACCAATGTAGTATTCCTGCCAAAAATGCCTGATCTGAATTTGGTCATGAGGAGAAAATCAGATAAATATTCTGCAAAATAACAGGGTTTGATATCCAAAAATGTCAATGTCATAAAGGGGAAAAAAAAATCTAGATTAAAGGAAAATAAAGAGATACCAAAACAAAATACAATGTGTGATTCTTGAATGGATACTAGATGGGGAAAAGACAGTTATAAATGACACTATAAGGACAAAAACTCTGAATATGGACTCAATATAAGACTAAATTTTTATCAATCTTAAATTTCTCAAGTGTAATAATTTTATTATGGTCATGTACAAGAATATACTTATTCTTGGGAGACAGAATGAATTATTTACACGTGAAGTGTCACCGTGTCTACAACTAATTCTTACATGGTTCAGTTAAAAGGCTACTAATAACAATAAATATTCATATGTATATATTTGCATAGAGATAAAGAATGGATAAAAGGTTAACAATTGATTAATCTAAATTAATGGTAATTGTAATTCAGTGATCTAGTCTTCCAACTGTTGTTCAGTTATACATTTACAAAACCACAAATTTGAGGAAATATGCATTAAATGGCAGTGAGTAGAAGGGAAAAATACATTCCATAAACAATAAACCCATTATATATGTATTTCTAGTCATAATCCAATTGTTAATTTCCAACATGAGAATTATCCTCAGGATGGACCATCTGTAGCAAATGTTTGACCAACTCTACTCCTACCATACACCTCCTCTCCTTACCCTACCTGCTAGCTGATCCATAATTAAGGAATCCAGATCTAAAGTTGAGCCTTCCAAATAAAACTTCCTAAATCAAAGAATGTAATACATTCAGAAGTGAAATGGCAATGATTTTCATAATATTAACCATTTGGGATGGCCCACACCAACACTTCCTTTAGTTTGTTCAATCATTAACAGGAAAATCATTTTATTTTTATAACTGATCTTGAAATAGCCCTCACTACTTCTAAATTGTGGAAATTATCTCCAGCATTAGGAAAACATTTCTTCTTTACTTTTTCACTTGTAAAACAGTAAATTGGACAACAAGCAGTTCCGTAAATACTTAAGTCAAGGGCACCCCCCGGGAAAAAAGCAATGAATATGCCCACGAAAGGAACACAGGTAAGATTCACAGGCAATTTTTACTTTACCCCCTTCCAACAATTAAAAAAAAAAGTTAATACAACGAATGGCATCACTCGATCAGCAGCTAAACCCTAGGCTTCCAATGTTCTTCTTGCCTCAGGTATTATTTAAGCAATAAATCCTAACAAGGTGAGCTTTATCATCCCACACTGTGTCTCTGACAGGAAAGGGCACAAGGTGATAGCAAAAACCACTAGGAACAAGATAATTCCTGACAGCTGCTGCCTGAGCACAAGTTAAATTGAACAGTTTATCTCAGCATGAAGATGTTATAAGGTTTTATGTTTAATATTTTTAAATTAACATAAAAACCAGAGAAAGCGGTTGTGCAATCTTTCACAAACATGACATAGTACAATCACTGTGTAAGCTGGATTAGTACTTATTCCCATGCTACTACAGAATTAAGTTGTTTTTAGACCACCAAAGAGCTTTAAATTGCAACTTTTGTCTCTGTAAGAGAAACCTATATTTAAAATGTCTGCTAAATTCAAATTAACGGCTACATCATTAGCTTATACCATCTCACCAAAAGTATAAGTAAGCTGCTATTATAATCGTCTAACCAAAATGCTCTTTGCTCCAACCACATTAACACCGTTCTATAGTGGGGCTGTATCCATACACGTTTCAATTGTTTCCAATACACATTATATCTACAATCTGAGTCATATTTGCTTAAAGAATCCAAAATCATTCAACATAATGAAATTCAAAATTACAGACTTTTTATTTTCTGGCTCAGTTTGAATAAACTAGTTATTTGCCTTTTACTCTATTCTCTTAATACATAAAAAGAGATGCTGAAATATACCTAAGCACTGTAGGAATGGGACCACTATTATCACAGTGCATACTTTTATTATCTTAAAGGGTATGGAAGGGCAGTGAAATGAGAAACAGAAGACAGACATTCAATATTCCAACCACCACCATGCAATCTAGTAATAATACTTCATGAACTAAGTTATCTCAATCTCGCTCCATGAAATCTTTTCAATGGGCCCTTCTACCCCACAAAACCATTTAGCAATTTTATCACATAACAAGATATAGTACACAATTTAACACAGATCCTAGTTTGGGTTGAATTCTTAAATAATTCTTTGCAGGGCTTCAGTAAGCCTTTGACAAAAGAGTAAATTCCATTCTTCCAGTCGTGTCTCCTTGCTCACTACCTAAACTCCTTGTCTAGATTCATGTTGCTCAGCCTCATTACCAAAGTCTTTGTTGTTCCACTGCTGCTTTTCTTGATTCTTGTTCCTTGATATACACTCTCTAGGACTCTAGATCCTATACTTTCTGTGATACGGTGTTTTCTGTGATGATGGAAATGTTTTATATCTGCATATAGTATCCAATGTAGCAGCAACTAGCTACATATGGCTATGGAGCACTTGAAATGTAGCTAGTGCTATGGAGGAACTAAATTTTAAAGTGACTTGAACTTGATTCATTTAAGCTTAAATGAAATAGCCATAAAGTAATGGGTACTGTATGGGAAAGCACAGCTGTGAATGGACCAGATTTCCTCAGTCCAACACTTCACCCATGATACCTGAATGCAATTCCTCACTGAACTGATGTTCTTGGACCCTGACCTGCTTGTGATAACCTAATTTCTAAGTTCCTCCTGACTTGCTGAATTTCACCTACCTAATTCTGGAATGGCATTATTTCTTTTTCCTCCTGATAATTAGAAA